TATGGGGGAGAAACACCCAAAAATCCAAACAGCAAAACAAGGAAACACATCAAGTCTTGGCAATTTTTGTTACGTGTGTCTATGGCAAATGCTGGGCAGTGATTCCAGGCTCCACTGAAAGCCCCAGGAACAGTTTCAGCTTTGGAAGCAGCTGGTAGGACAGAACACAGGACTAACCCCAAGTAATTCTGCATCTGTACCAGAATCAAATGAAAGGTATGTATTAAATACAGTGTATATTGTGAAGTAATTTTGCCTAGACAGCTATTTCCATTATAAGCCTAATAAAAATTGCTATAAAAGGGTTGACATTTCTCTGCATCAGTGGTCAGCACAGCTGCTTTCAGTTAGGAGGCAAATGCCAGAGCTCTATTAACAATACTAGTTATAGCTTGTAGTCCAGCCATAATACATTCCTTCAACAGCCACGTTGGCAATTACTTCAAACCACAGAAGGTTTCACACTACTGCAAATGCTGTGGTGCTCATCTAGAACCCTTGCAGTGTTTCTCCTTGCAGCTGGACAAAAATCAAAATAAGGGCAAAAATCCTAAGTACGACAGAACAACAGTGAGGGAAGGGCTGCATCAGCAACAGAAAAAGCAGGGACTACTAAACACATGCAGAAGAGGAGAGTGAGGCAGCCAAAAGTTTCCTCAAATCAAGCAGCCAGGGGAACAAATGAAGTCAGAATCTTAAATCCAGGCTGTTTGCTATCTCCTAGTGTTATTACCAGAATAATGCATAAGAGTTTCTGAGTTTGCAATAAGAGAAAAGTGGAGTCAGCTCACTGCTGGAAGAATTCTGCAATCCAGGGACTGGCTCATCTCTGGAAAAGAAACAACCTGCATGCACAGTTTAATTCTATACACAGCTGAATAGAAAACATCTTGCAGCCTACAGCCTCATTCCATCTGACACAGATTTCACTTGAAAAGTGCTAATTTTGATTTCTAGTGAGTGAAAAACATTCTCAAACATTTCCTTTCTGTTAGCAGGTAACAGCACCGTCATAAAGGTATTTTAGTGATACTGGGATCTCTTTCTCAAAATGTTTTTAAATATTTCAAGACAACAAACTCTTGCCAGATTTCATTTCAAGAAAACCTCCAACAATTAAAACACCTCCAAGCATCTGATGCTGGACCCACACCATGCCTCTGAAGTGGATGCTGAGCCTGTCTGAAAGGTCTGAGAAAGTCTTAAAGGTGAGTGAAAGATGATTAAGGCAGGTGTCTCTGTTTGTCTTCTTAAGCCTTTACACAGTATGACACCCTTTGCAGATTATAATAGTAGTTCATCCTCTGATTTCAGAGGTTTTCTACCCTACCTAATACCTTGCTGACAGCCAGGGAACTAGTTTTATCAAGATTCTCATATTGTTCCCCACTATGTTACAGAGGCCAGGCCTACGAGGTGACATCTTTTAAATGAACATCCCATTTCAACAGAGGGGATTTGCTATTTGTGATCTCCTCCTCCTGTCAGTAAAAATTGCAATATGATTTGAGTGTTCTGATTTTAATATGCTATTATTAAACAGCCTGGAGCACTTGGTGTGAGGCACACGGTAAAATAAAGCTCTGTGAGAAGACAGAGTTGCAGGAGACAGCAGCACTTTGAATTTCCTTAATTATCTCTGATCTCCAGCACTGTCCCTTTGGAAAGTGAGGTGGGAGAAAGCCACTAACTGGAATGTGAAGCTCCACTGCTGCAGATTCTGTTGTTTCAGCTGAAAGGAGTCAGAAGAGAGCAACGTTGGTCAGAATCTGATCCAGAAAGTAAGAGCCACACACACCTGAGGCCTTAAAGGACTTGGCCAAAGGCAACTGGAGAGAAGGAAAACCAACACAAGGTGTATTTTGTCCAGCTGTCAAAATGTGATAAGCTGTGGCAGACTCTCAAGTTCTCAGTAAACTACTTACCAAGCATCTCTTCAAAGAGTAATTCCCCTGGGCACTTACCCCCTGCTCTGGGCAAGGACCCCCCTTGGGGCTGGGGATGCCAAAACCACCAGGTTTTAACTGGCACAAGAACATCAAAGTGGGGAATCTCAGGCTCCCCCTGCACAACTTCAACTGGTATCATATAATTACAAAACACAGGCATCTAAGTTCAAGGCTTTCACATGCACAGGTTTTTCTGCAGCCCTCAAAAGACTGAGTCACTGAAATCATTATCAAATCATAAAGGTCTCCAGCAACTGAAAAACAAATCTCACCACCTTCTGCCAGGCTGTTTGATTAGATAAAACTCACCACAGACATAACACTCATAACTCATTCTTTTTCCACTATTGCCAGACCCTTCTGAAATAAGAAATTACTGTCATATATCATCTCATGAGAGATAATAAAAGCATAAAGAATTTGGTGAACAGACTGAATTGAGGATCACAAGAACACATCCATACTCATTTGTCTTAAGCTGGAAAGTTTTACTAAAAAAAAAATAAACATCAAGCCAGATTTTACTTTGAACAGCCCATTTTTGTAATTTTTAGAACCATGAACAAGTATTCCCAACTCCTCATATCACATTCTACCACATTTAGCAAGAAATATTACTTGAGACTGTATGAATTCAGCAAGGTTATTGAGTTTTATAGTATAAAGGTTCATTAATTTTTAAAAACACTAATCTGGAAGCTGCAAGGGAGTAATATTTTACTAGAGATGGCATTATGAATAGTTATTTTCTACGGGACACTTAACAGAACTTGGCAACCATCCATTTACATCAGTAAATGTAACATTATTCCCCCCTCAGCTGCCACTGTGAAGAAGCAACAAAAGACAGGTAACTACAGAGAATTCCCAAGCAGATCAACTTCCAGGGAGGTACAACAGTGCAGTGCTTCAGGCTAACACTTCCAGAAGCCTCCAATCTGCTACCAAACAACACTGCCAAAAAAAAGGGGTGAGATCCCTTCCTGATAGCTCTGGGAACACAGTGGTGGTGATGTAAAACCTCCAGACTGTAAGTATGTAACTATTACCTGAATTTTAAGTTCTCGTTGTAACCACTGACTAACAATTCTATGATTTAAATCATACGCCCCTACAATATATTAGAAAATCCACAGTCACATTCCTAGGTATGAAATTAAAAAAAAATAATAAAATAAAAAAAATCTTACAATTTGTATTTCATAGAACTGCAGTTTACAAAGAATACACCCACTCTGGAACAGTCAGACATGTCTCTGCCCAGCACACCCTGCCTGCTGTGCAAGGTGCCTCTGACTCAGAAGCACTTGGCCAGTGAGGAATATTCAAAAAAACAGAAGCCAAGTAATTTAATTTGCTGCTGGAATAGGGCTTTTTAATCAATATTTTAGAAACTTAAACAAGACAACCCGGTAGATGCATCTGCCACAGCAAAAACAGGGAAGAGAGTCAAATATTGACACCTTTCCCTCTCAATGTAAAGATGAGCCAGCTTCTGTATTTCAGTTGTTCAACTGCAAACAGTGGCAAAGAAACCAGAGTAGTTTAACTAGAGAATTAATAGATTTTCTTTTCACAATACCCATCTAGGTTTTCTAAGCAGAGCTGGACTGGTTTCTGAGAGCAGCTCAATCAGGTGCACAGATGGCTGAACAGAATAGAGAGAGATTTGCTTACAACAAGGTTAATTTTCATCAAAATGCTTGTCCTTTTAGGAGCACTTGCCAACAGAAGAGCAGGCCAACTCTGCTTTCTATTCTGTTGGAACAGCTTCTCAAGTTTCCTGGAAGAGTCTGTTCTTGGCAAATATAACTCAAAGGCCATTTTTGCATTGACAACAACATTGCTCCTGAAATCAAATGGGTGATCTTGCTGGGATGGATAACACCAGCCTAGATAAAGCAGTTCAGGTTTATTGTGGGGCAGAGAGAAAAGCAAAGCTGATATTAGACATCCAAAGTCAAGTTAGACTTGACCATTGAAGTCTGTTCATATGCTCCATACACACGTTCATGGGACAGTTGTTCAGTGGAACAAATCAGATTGCAAACTGTTAGTTAACAGTGACTCTTATTTTCCAGATGCATCATAAATCAGCTTCCTGAGGCATCATCAGCTATATAAAAACTGAAAACAAGTCATGACTGGGACTATTTCAACTCTTAAAACAACCCAGGGTAAAGGAGGAATGTTCATACTCACTTTGAAAGAGAAACACCCCCTGCTTTTCCAATCATCTCTTCATGGTGCAGCACTGCTTGGTTCCATGGGATGCGGAGAAACTTCAGGAGAGTTCTCATCCACCTTTCAGGATGCAACACAAGTTGCTCATAGTGCACCAGCATACACCTTTCAAACCCAACCTCCATGCACTGGTTGTACATGGTTTCTATAGCACGGTTCCACTTGGTCAAGCAGTCTCTGTAGCTGTTCAGGTCAAATCCAGCTATTGTGACTTTCCTAGATATCATGGAATGCACTGACGCACGGCCATCCCGTACCATTAGAAGAAATTTGGCATTGGGGAAAATCCTAGCAAGATAAGTTAAGGACTTTAAAGCAAAAGGATCTTTGTTACACAAGTAGGGCGCAGGCTCCCCGTGTTTCACGATGATTTCCAGCAGAAACGCCTGCATGGCCGAGTCCAGAACCTCGTCCGTGACTCCGGCTTCATCCAGCCGGATCTTCTCCTTGCTCGACCTCGCCCACATCTGCTTCACCGCCAGGATCCGTGGGATCACCCTCGTCTCCTCCCCGCAGCGAACGTCCGGGTGGGCGTCCAGCATGGCCCTCATCAGGGTGGTGCCGCTGCGAGGGACTCCCCCGATAAATATCAGAGGCATGTCCTTGTTGTAGGCAAAGGTTTTGTTGGCGTTCCCACCGGGAGCAGTTCTCACCGTGCTCCTCACGCTCTCCACCCTCCCGGGCTGGCTGCGCTCCTCGATGCGGTGGTGACACTCCATGGCGTGCTGGCCCAGGTAGAACACTGTCACCGAGCTGATCACCAGGCACGCCAGCAGCAAGTTCTGTTTGAGTTTTCCTACCATTTTGGTTAAAGACTGTCACTTCAAAGGAAGGAGACCTTCTAGTCTGAATTATCTTCTAGTTCACGTGCCATGGGAACTCTCCGAAATAAATTAACGTCTGTCAAAGGGGAGGAAAAAGTAAAGAAAAAAAAAATTAGAACGTTGTTAAGAACTACTACAATAAATCAACACAGCAATTATTTCTCCGAGCTGTAATGAGATGAGATTAAGGCTGAAACCCCAAGATACACAAAATAAACCCAAGGTTTTTCATTATTTTTTTTTCCAGTTCAGCTTCTTAAAACTGCTTTATTCAAAAGTAATTTTAATTTTTACAAATGAGAAAAAAAACCCAGACTATATTAGAAGATTTCTGGACACGTCTTAGACTCTGAATAAAACTTTTAGATAGAAACAAAAGATTTAAATGTCTGTCTGCTGAATTCCAATGTAGACATTTACAAGAAGGATTAAGAATATGTCATGTCCTACAGTGAATACCAGAGGGTTACATCCAACGCTGGCTTACATAAATCTGCTACTCTGCTGCCTGGATGATTCAATCTGTTCTTGCCAACCTGTAACTGTGATGCCTGGAAAAAAATAAAGGTAATGTATAGACAGTTGTTTTACCTGTGTTCTGTAGTTCAACTGCTTTGGATTTTCAGATAAGATAGGCTGAAAACTGACTCCTCCTCTCAGAACTCAAACAAAATTGGTACTCTAATTGAATTTTCAAGTATGAGCTGGCTGCTCAGGGCGGGAATAGCTCCGTGAACAGTATGAATCACAGATGCTTTTAATTGTGAGGATCTCCAAGCACTGAGGTACCGCCAACTTTTTAAATGACTGGCTTCCTCAAAGCTTTTCCATCTCTGTCAGCATGGCACAGCACATCCCTGACTGAAGAACACCCTTGTGCCTACTCCCTCCAAAGTATTATCCACTTAACCTTTCCCTCCACGCCAATCCAGTCGTTAACTCCGAAGTCAGGATTTGCGCAAGGTCCTGTCCCCCCCCCCGCGCTCCACAGCCCCTGTTTGTGAGGCTGGGCAGCCACACAGGCAGAGCACACAATTCCCACTCAGCACCACAGCAGTGCAAGGGGAAAAAAGGCAGGAATTCCTCATGCAGGCATCTGTCACAGCAGTAATTTTCCATCCAAGAGAGCCGGTCGCCAACCTGCACGAGAACGTCTTGCCCCCTCGCACTAACAAAGCTTATTCCAATCAACAGCTGTCACAATGCTGCACTCAAAGTTCAGCTTCTAGTCTTTGTTACCAAAATTAAACTGGAAATATAGCTTGAAGATTAATTCACTTCTTTCTCTGTAAAGCAGCCAAGGAGCTCCCCACACTCTCTGGCCAGAATACAGTTCTTATAAACAATTCACCCTCTGTAACGCGTTTCATTCTACTTACATACCTCTCCTTGCTGAAGAGCTGGCTTTAACTGTACTTTAAATATCTGAATATTAAAAAAACAAAAAACAAAAAAACAAGTTCCCAGAAATTTAAGTGGAGGTCATCTGAACAATGCTCAAAAAGACAGAAAAAAGTAGACCATGAAGTCAACACTTCCACAGCACCAAGAATCAGAAAGTTTCTCTTTTGAAAGATTCAGCACGCAGACCTAACTTACAGTTAGGGAAGGTGAAACTGTTCTGCTTAAAACCAGCAAAAAGTACACAGAATCTCTTTGAATTCTTTAGAGACAGTAAAGATTTAGTTAAAAGTCAGTACTCATTCAAGAGAAAAGTTAACACAACTGAAAGAGTGTTTTACCACAGAGCACACAAGACCTGCAAATATTTACACTTCATACAATCCCCAACATTACTCAGTCTGAGTAAATTCCATAAAATTAAAAACCTTCCACAAAAATCTCCATCTTCCAAACTAAAAACCACTCCTTGAAATCAGCAATGTTCTTCTAAAGTAACTGGTAACTGATCATTAGAGAAAAACGTAGCAAGACCGAGGGCATCCACTGCTTTACTCTGATCGTTTCTATCAGAATATCACTCCAAACCAGAACACAACCAACACCAGCTTTCACAACCAGCAGTATTGGAGGAAAGCCTGGAGACTGAAGGCTGAAATCCTCAACTCACAGGCTGGGTAAAGCAGAATGATGACTCATGCTGGGCACAATTCCAGCTGGGAATGCAAAGGAGCCTTGCAGCCTGTGAGTGGGTTGAGTACTGACCACTCACCTACACCACCAAACCCCCACCCACGTGACAAAAAAGCCCACATCAATCAACCACAAATACTTTCATTTGATGCAGTAACTTGTTTGGGTAAGTTCAAAGATGCCAAAGGCTGTGAGACCATAAAGGACCAGAATTAAACTCTTCCACAACCTTCTGTATTGTTTTTTTTTTTGTCTGGAATCAATACCTGGAGCCATAAACTGTGGCAAGACCAGGGCTTTGTATGTCAAGAAACCGAGAGAGGAGCGGTCAGAAACAGCTCCTCTCAGCAAATGAATCTATTCTGTGAGCCAGCAAACTCCCCTCTGGGCCTGAAGTTACAAGTAAAGCTCTTTGGGATAAATATGACATATGGAAGTTACTGCCCTTCTAGCAGCCTGTAAATAAACCCCACCTTCCCCCTCCTCCCCATGAGTAAGTGCTCTGGAGCACATCTGTCAACCTGAAGGATTAGAGAAGTTATTAATGCTCTGCTGTTGACAGTAACTAAACTGACAGCATTCAAAAAATCACAACAAGGCAATCAGCAACCCCTTGTCAGCATTTAAGCAGAGCTTTGAAATATTGCTTCTACCAACTATGACCTAAGGAGAGCAAAGTGCCACTCAGCCTACAAGCACAACTTTTTAATAAAAATACCTCAAAACAAACCAAACAAAAAAACCATAAATCACCCACTAAAAACAAACACAACCCCCTAACACACAGGACACAGTGAGGAAGTTGCAGATGATTACAATGATTACAATGGTAGAGAGGCCTTTGGCAGCAAGTTTCAAATGACAGACTAAAAAGAACTCCCAGAAAAATTTAAGTGTAACTCAAAAAAAAAAAAAAAGAATTAGGATCTACAAGTTTCATCACAAGAAAGTACAGCCAAGCAGAATTGTATGTAACTGAGTTTTATGCCCAGAAAAGTCAGGCCTATGAGTCAGCCACTAGATGATGTTAGTAAAGCAAAACTGACTGCTTTGTTTCCTTCTGCTGCAGACACTCATTCTGCTTCCCTCCCCCTGCATGCAGCAGGTCAAGACCTTTTCCCTTGAGTTCATCCAAAAAATGTTGAAGATTTTTAGCTTAGTCAAGAGGCAAATCATTCATTTGTATTTTATGTTAGAACAGTTTGGGTCTTGTTGCTGTTTAAAGCATCCCCTGCCAAAGGAAAAAAGATGTTCCTTTACCACCCAGTCACGAGGAATCCTCTTGAGCTCCAGAGCTCAGACTTTCACTTTGAAGGCTGGAAAGGGACCTCCCTTCTCATGTTCAACCAGAAAGCTTTTTCCAGGGCTAAACTGACAGGACAGCAATGCAGGCATTACCCATCTCAAAAAAAATTCCAACTCTACATATATATAAAGCATTTTTCAGTGATTAGCTTGTCCTCTGCTTCCATGTCCCAAGCTTTTGGCTCAGATTCTGATAACAGGATCATCTTCTAGGAAGGACAAGTATGATGGTACAGCTTAGATCTTTGTGGAGTGTGTCTTGTTCCTGCAGCTGCCCAAGTGCACTGAACACCTTTCCTTTATAGTTCACAATGTAAAAATAAATACAGGAAAGGCAGCAACTACTAAGAATTCTCAAGAATCATCTTTGAAATAGTACACATTTAGAAAACTGGAAACCATATATTTCTTAGCGGAAGTTCTATGTTAAGCTGATCAAATAGTCCAAGTTGCACACAGTGTTAAGTCTGTCAGCATTCCTTAATGAAAGCTAAAGAAAGGAATTCCCTAACACCTTTCCTTCAATGAACTGGTTTGTTTCTGGTTGGTTGTGTGTGTTCACCACAAAGAAGATTGCACAGGAAAGCCAACAGTTACATGATAATGGTATAGCACAACACCAGGGAACACAACTGAAATATTCCCAGAATGCCACTTCAAGGAGCCACCCAAACCATCACAGGCTCACTTAGAAGACTGCTCCAAAAATAATCTGAGTATTCAGGAAGCATTTTTATCCCTTCAAAGCAGCGTTTGCACAATCACCTTAATGATTCCCCCAAAGACTGGATGTCTGTTACCACGGAACAGCACAAGGAAGCAAATCCCAAGCAAAATACTCAAAGCTAAAAATAAAAATCAAGAAGCCTTGAGTAGCAAGTCCATCTTTAGCTGTTTAAGTCCTCATGGCTCTCAAGCCCTGCAGCTGCTTCCCCCAGATTTCTCCTCCCATTAATCATATAGGAAAAAAAGGATGATAAAATTGGATGAGCAAGTTTTATTCACCTCCACAAAGAAATAAGGAGTGCACAAAGAACTAACCAGTGGCAGAAAGCATCTGGGATGCAAGATAGCAAACTCGACCTAGTGAAGCCAGTCTTCCTGAAGAGCAGTTTCACAGCTAGAATGACAGAACAAAGGTGGACAAGATAAGGGAATGCAGATGTGTGAATAACTTTCCCTTACAGTGCAAACTGCAGGAACTTTAGAAATACTGTTCATACATTTGCATTCCCTTGAACCTATAAGGTTCAAGATTGCTTTTTTTTTTTTTTAATCTAAGGCTCTGAGAAATTTAAAAGGCCAGATTAACCTTCATGGTCACACTCTATTGCTGAATCTAAAATTTCCATAATGGGTGATTAACACATACAACTATGTGATAATTCCACAATTTCTAGTACAATCGTGTTACAAAGAGTAAAAAAAAATATGCTTTTTATGCATTATTATACATTTCCATCCTATAATCAATAAGAGATAAAGAAAGCTGTATACTTTCCTTTTACCAGTTACCCCCCTCAAAAAGACACCCCTAAATCTACTTTCTTCATAATCCTCCATTAGTCAGATAAACAGATACACACATATGTGTGTACAGAGAAATTCAGAAGTGTTTGTCCTTCCTCTGAATTTAGCAACGCTTACGGGTTTTCTTAACAACCACTAGAAAAAAAC